CACCCACAGTCCCCAGCAAGGGAAATATAGTTTACAAGACTCGCTCCTATTTACATATGAATGCCATAAAATGCTAAATTATACATATTAACAAACTAAGCTCAAGTCTGACCACAGAGAAGGATCGTAAATAATTACAGGGTGAAAGAAAATAAACCCCAAATACAATTTAATTCAAGGATCTTAGTGTAAAGAACGTTTATTGTGCACAAATTTCAGAGTCGTAGAAAACTCCATTTTCCTTTTTTTTTCCTTTTTCTTTTTTTTTTTACAAATAATAATAATAATAATAATGGACTGATGTGTGTTACACTCCTCCACAGGTTTTTGATTCTTCTTTTTTGTGGAGTGAAAGAGAAATGCAGAAGAAATGTCTATGGAACTGTAGTACCTGAAGATGCACAGAAATAATCCAAGTGTAGTGTTAGAACCAAGCCATAAATGGAACAAAACCTGCCCTGCTGCAGAAGCAGGAAAGAACCAGCACATACACGTTATCATAGTCCTCCTAGCATGGGAAATCACCTCGTTTAAGCAGCCAGCAACAGAAAAAAAGCATGAATTGGACTAAAATTGCCAACAACACGCCCAAAAATGAGACTAAGCAGCCAGCAACAGAAAAAAAAGCATGAATTGGACTAAAATTACCAACAACACGCCCAAAAACGAGACCCCCACCCCCACCCCCCCTTCCCTTTGCCTCCCTGTCCCCCAACGCATCTTCCAGTGGCACCAACGTGCCCAACTCCCTCTCCCAACCTGCTCCAGAGGCTCCAAACCCCCCTCCCCTCCCCTTCCCAAATGGTGTGCCCAAAAATGAGACGCCTGCAGCTTGCTGTGAGGGGGATGGAGGTGTCTGAAAGCTGCTCCTGGCACCGAGGGTCTGTTCTTTGTCTCCTCACCCAGCCCAGGGCTGGCAAATCCACCAGCAGGGAACAGGGGTTGAGGGGTTCAGAGCTGCAGCTGATGCTCTGATCCCCCCCAAAAAAAAGCAGGGAGAAAACTCCAGGGGCTGCTGAGGATGGAGAATCAGCCTCACGTTGGTGGCAAGGAACCTTCAGGAGGTTATGGGGGAAAGGCTGAAGTTCAATCCCAGCCTCTTGAGGGAGGGGATTTCCTCAGAAGCTCCTTTCAGCTGCCCCAGGGCTGAGCTGTCAGGACAAATCCAGGGACTGGAGTTTGGTAGATGTTGACAGCAGAGCTAAAAATGATGTTTTCTGAGCAATATTTAGGATACCAGCCACCCCTGAGGTGTGGACCTGCCAGGCTTTCATGGTACCACACCATCACTTGGGCCCATCAGATGCCAATCCCAAGCACTACCCCATCCTCTCAAGCTTTATTTTGGCATTTTTAAGCTCGGGGAAGAGTGGCAATAACTCCTAAATTGTCTTCCACAAACCTCCATGACCCAAACCTTGGCATCACCTCCTGTCCCTCATCCTACAACAGTCCAGAGAAAATCCTGGGCTAAAAAGGATGGATAAAGATGAACAAAACTAAAAAAAAACCCCTCTATTATTTAAGGATCTGATGGCACGGTTGCTTTCTAGGATACAAGGTCTACAGTATTTCTGATTTTCTTTTAATTCCATTTTCCTTTAAAGGCTTCTCTCAAAGAATAAAAATGTGCTGAGGGCTAGAGCTCAAACGCTGAATTTCAGCCAGTTATAAATGCTTGAAAATAGTGATTTTGAATGGAAATCACTGGCACAATCTTAATGGTAGAGGCTTAAACTGCTGACTTAATCCTCCAGATAATGACTGCTTTAAGTACATTTATTACTTGTCTTCAAGCACTGGGTTTTTTCCTCCCTCCTCTTGAAGTGGAAGAGCCATATTTTACTTTTCTTCTACATTTTAAGTGAAATACATTTGAACAGATCAAAATCATGTTCTGCCTCCCTGTTTTACAGAGCAAGATCCCACAGATGGAATTTGAGGTTCCTTTAAAGCTCTGGGAAGTTCTCTGATGCTCATCATACGAAGAAGTTATTAAGACAAAACTCATACGTCGTTTAAAACGCATCAAAAAAATACATTCAATATTTTTTTTTCCTGCTTTATGTACACTTTAAATCTTGCCCATGTTCTGCACGCTGCTGTAGAGTTTATGTACAAGTGCAAAATTGGTGTGTTGTTTTTCATCTATTTACAGATTCTCCCATGAAATCAGGTTGCTCCTTCCCCACCCCCCATCACCTCCAGAAGAAATAAAGCCACAAATCTTTCACTTTTCCTATGGGCCTGGTGATAAACCACCAGCAATTCTTCCTCCCCCCACCTTTTGTCTCTGTTTTACCTTCAATTTGGGATGAAACTGCAGCAGATATGTATGAGGATTCTCTTTTCCCCTCATCAGGATGGAGATAAGATGCAGAGCAGTTCTACCTAAAAGGAGCTGTTTTGTTTTGTTTAGATAATTCTTGTTCCTCTACGTACAATTTTTCTTTGATTTTGCTTAATAAACCACCAAGTTTGATCCTTTTTTTTGCTCCTCTTTCCAAGCTCTGACACGTCACTTTGTGGCCACGATTCTGGGCACTCTCCATCGTAAGCTTCTGAGACCACACAACCCAGCTCTCTGGGGGGAAAAAAACCACATTTACATCTTTTTTAATGTAAAAATACATCACCCCTCCAGGCCTGCTGTTCAGAAAGTTGTTTCTGTTCAGGAAAACCTAAGCAACAACTTTAAGCACCTGCTTAAGTGCTGTCCTGAATAAGGAGACTCGAGCACAGGAGCTTTCTTGAGCTCAAGAGCCAATTTGGGTTGGCAGTTCTCTTCCAAAAGAAGCAAGAAGAAGACATCTCTGAACATGAGGATGTGCATGAAGACTGGGCACATGGAAAGTCCTAACAGGAGGGACTATTTCTAATAAATAATCCTAATTTCAGTCCAGTGTTCTGCCTCTGGTTTGTGTTAGTCCTAGACACACAGGAAAGATTTTCAAGAGATGAAGCTGTCTGAGGTAATCTGTGCATCAGTTGAAACTTTCATTGCCTAAACCCCTGCATCTGAAAAGACAAAGCTCAACCCTTCCCTCCCATGCTTTCATTTCCCCAGAGGGCATTTAGATGTCTAGTTTATAACTAGATGCATTTTATATATATATATACACACACACACATAGATAGATATATATAAAATGCATTTTTTTCCCCCAATATCTCTTCTGCAGTCCTGTTGCATCTGTTAAATGACACATGAAATGAGAATTATAATCCACCATGGTCTTGAAACCAGCAGGCTGACCCCACCACTGCTGCCTGGACACGCTCAGCAATTCACATCTTTATTGTGGTGCCAGCAAAGAGCTTCTTCAAAATACATGGTTAAAAACCAAACCAAAGCCAAATGAGTGGCTGGTACACGATCGATCACCAAACCATGCACAAAAAAAGATGCAGTTGCTTGGGTTTCCTTTTGGAACTGGTGCTACTTGGCCAGAAGATTCAAGGGCATGTCCTTTCACCCCCCTCAGCTTGTTCCTTCTCTGTTTCTCATCCCAAACCAGAGCTTCAGGGACCTGAATGAAGTTCATTAAGCCCAACCTTGACCCTCCAAAGAGAATCCCAAACGTAATCCCTGAAGTCAGAGTACTTCAGATATCCTCAGACATCCCCCAACAGCCAAACCTCCTCTTTGCTGTTTGTGAGTCCCTTCCTTTCACCAACGAGCCACCTTCTTCAGCATCTAAGAGACTTCAACCCCAATGGGAACCCTCAGTAACTGACCATGAACTCAAACTCATTGGTCTTTAATTAAAATTCTTTCTTACTCCATCCTCAACTGATCTGGCACCTGGAGTGTTGGGTTTTTTTACATCATGGAGCAAATCTTCCTGCTCAGGAGCGACGTCTCTGAGCTCTGCCCACAGCTCAGCTCTCACCCAGAAGAATGCAAGAGGGCAGGAGGAGGGAAAGAGGCCAAATGGGCAGAGAAAAATTGGAAGAAATACAATGTGTCTGACTCAGAACACAAACTGCTTCTGTTAAAAATGCTGCTGGAAGCAGGAGTTTTCTTAGGAGATACTAAAACTATTTTCCTTCTAGATATTACCCTCTGGCTGGTCAGGAAAAAGGCATTTTCCCCTGACTGCATGTGATCCATTCCAAAGAACACAGATTGCCTTTGGTGACTCTCTACGTGTGTGTCCATCTATTGGAACACAAGGATGTTAAAAAGCAAGGTGTGGAGCAGTCTCCTTCACTCCCTAGAGCTGTTCAAGTCTAGGCACTTGTGTGTGGTGTCCTCCGAGCAGGTTAAGACTGTGTAAACACAAAGTCCTTCAGAAGCCACCTTCATCTCCTCCAGGTATTGCACGTGGTCTTAGCAACGTGTTGACATCCACCTTCCAACCATCCAGTTCCTGATGTCCTTGCACCGTGCTGACAACAAAACTGCTGCATCTGGAAGAGAGTTCCACTGAAATAACGAGGGGCCACCCCCAGAATTGTCAAAGAAAACAAAAGGATGAGGATGTTTTGAAGGGGAATAGTAGTGTTTATGTGTTGAGAGCTGACACCTGTAAACACTGCAACTTTTTCTGGTTGTACAGTTTGATAAATACATGAACTACAAAGCACTTTCCATGGGTAAACCTGAGTGTCATTCATCCTGGACTACAGTTCTATGTACACTGACCACGAACGGCGGCGATCGGCTGGGACCGGACCTGCAACAAAAGGATTTTTACTTGAAGAAAACAAAGGAGCAATCTGAAGCCACGTGTCAGTAAAACTTAAGTGGAGCAGTTGTCAAATCAAGCCAACTATCACGTAGATGAGAGAAAAAAATTGGGTTCAAGGAAGTTGTGGGTTTTTTTTTTTTTCTGAGTGCTTCTCGTCTCTCGCGACACAACTTGGGAAATCTTCCTCTTCCTCCTTCTCTTCTCCTCCTCCTCTTCTCCTCCTCCTCTTCCTTCTCCAAAATTCCTTTCCCCTTTTGTTTAAAACAGTTTCTGATGTCCATGCATCAAATACAGGTTCCTGGCTGTGCAGGGGGCTGCTGCTTCCGATTTCGGATTGCGCCCGATTTCTCTTTGTAGGCGATTGGCATCTGTTGGGAAATGTCCACCAGGGCACTGGCCACGGCGAGACCTGGGGCAACAGAACACACCTGGTCATGGGACAAAAGCCACAGGAACAAACCCTCCCAACACTGCTGGGAGAAACCAGCCACTCAGTGAAGAGTGGGGGGTTTGAGTTCTTCTTAAAGAAAAAAAAGAGAACTAGGGGAGTATTTTGGTTTAAGAGATTAAGTCTGAAATAGGCTTTTAAAGATCTTGTGTTTTCTTGAGAGCATCTGCAGGAGAAAAAGGTGGAAGAAGAAGTGGGGGCATTACTTAGGGGGAATGGGGCAAAGCTGGCAGTGGGCAGATTCAGGCTGGATGTGAGGAAGAAGTTCTTCCCCATGAGAGTGGTGAGACCCTGGCATGGGTTGCCCAGGGAGGGGGTTGAGGCCCCATCCCTGGGGGTCTTTAAGGCCAGGCTGGAGGAGGCTCTGGGCAGCCTGATCTAGTGGGAGGTGTCCCTGCTCATGGCAGAGGGGTTGGAACTGGGGGATCCTTGTGGTCCCTTCCAGCCCTGACAGATTCTGATCTGTTTTAGCAGAGGACTTAGTAGTGTTGGCTTGATGGTTGGACTTGATGATCTTAAAGGTCTCTTCCAACCTAAAGGATTCTATGATTCTATGATTAATTAATCTCTGCAGGCTCCTTCCAGCAGATCCCCAGACAAACCCCCCCTGGCCATCTGGGACTGAGCTCAGTAAAGCTCCCAAAAAACCCAGCCCACCTCAAAGCTGGCTAATGCTCTTTGAAGATCCTCTGCTCCACCATGTTCAGTGGGCACTGGAGAAACCCCAATTAAATCACAAACTGCCCTGGGGATCACACAATCCCAGCATGGTCCAGCTGGAAGGGACCTTGGAGATCATCTCCTCCCACCCCCTGCTCCAGCAGCTCACCCCCAGCAGGGTGCCCAGGGTCACAGCCAGGAGGGTTTGGGATCTCTCCAGAGCAGGAGACTCCACAGCCTCTCTGGGCAGCTGCTCCAGGCTCCAACACCCTCACCCCAAAGAAGTTTCTCCTCCTGCTCAGGTGGCACCTCCTGGGTTCCAGTTGGTGCCCGTTGCCCCTTGTCATTGCCCCAGTGGCCTATAGACAGGTTTAAGTGAGAAGGGGCTGGGAGCAAGGACACCTTAAGCTGGATGGAGAAAACTTGTTTGTCCAGAGCTGCTAAGAAGAGGGTGTAGATACTTTGAAAGCCTTGATGTCTCTCCACAAATGGAGCTGGGAATGAAGGGGGACAGGCTGGGAGACAAGTGACTTTCTTAAGTTCTGTCTCTACCAGATCCCCCTTTTTCCCAGCCACAAATCAAAGTGCAATCCAACTATCAAACACTCATCCACCAACTGACCCAAGAAATGGAACCAAAGCTCAGGTGGGAAGCACACAGCGACTCTGCGAGGCTGGGGAAGGAGCACGGGGTCAATCCCAAGCTGGTGGTAGACCCTGCTGTTCCTCACCTGACTGTCCTGGTGGTGGTATACCCCCAAGTCCTCGAGGCAACCTCACGAACACGGAGAGGACGGCTGCCTTGTTCCCAAAGCAGGGCTCCAGCGCGATGGGCTTTGGTACAGTCTGCAGGGAGGGGAGGGAGAGGAGAAAACAAGTGTTACAGAGTCCTCACCCCTCCATTTCCTCCCTCAGCATCCTGCCTTCCAGCTTGTAGAAGCTTCAGGGCAGGACCCGTGTGTCTGTGCCTGGCAGATTCCCAGCACGCAGCTGGCAAAGCCAAAACCAACGTCAGTGACCACCAAAATCTTGGTGGCTGCAGAAACCTCCCCCACGTTTAGTGAATCAAAATGCAGCTATTAATAAGCCAAGCACTGCACAAGGCTTGGTTCTGCCTCAGCTCAATAAGAAAGGAGCAGCTCAAAGCAAGAGGACTGAGGTTCTTTCCTCTGAACCCCTCAGCAGTGTTATCACCAACATCCTCAGGTCTGGCCACTACGACTTGGTGGTTCAGCTTCTTGGTGGTTCAACTTCTTGGTGGTTCAACTTCTTGGTGGTTCCCACAGCTGAACTCCATATGACACCTTCACAGTACCCCCAAACCACTCTGTATTTCTGTATTTCTTTAAGCTGTGATCCCTCAGTTTTGTCTTTCATTTCCCTTCTTTCCCAAGGGGTCATGTTAAACTTCTAGACCACTCTAGACTATGTTCATAGTATCATGGAATGCTTTGGGTTAGAAGGGACCTTCCATCAGTCATCCCTGCACTGAGCTGGGACATCTGCAGCTAGAGCAGGTTGCTCAGAGCCCCAGCCAACCTCCCCTGGAATGGTTCCAGGGATAGGAACCCCCCCAGCACCCCCAAGTCCTTCTCCACAGGACCCAGCCCAGGTGCAGGACCCTTGGCCTTGTTGAACCCCATGAGGTTCAGACTTCTCAAGCTTGTCCAGGTCCCTCTGGATGGCATCCCATCCACGCTTGGGGAGCTGAAAGAGCTTTAGAAAGTCTAGTGGATAGGACTGTTCTTTTCCAAACTGAAAAGCAGAGGATTCAGGAGAGCAGTTTGTGATCCTGGATCTGTTGATCCTAAGATGGACTATCTTTAACAGGCTTTACTGAAGCCTCTTTACTTTAAATATGAATATTTCACACTAAGATTCCACACATGGCCATGAAATCAAGTTTTCAGTTAAGATGTGAACTGATACCTATGAAGATAGGATGGGTAGGCAGCATCCCCCCACCCTAGAGGAGCAGGGGACTGGACCCCTTGCTGACCCTCAGTGCCCTTGAACTCTTGAAGATGAGTAAGATGAGGATGCAAGCCTGCACCTATGAGTACAGCTACAAGAGAGTGCCTTCTTTTGTTCCACATCACCAAAAATAGCTGAGCAACACTGTTTTCCCTGATAGCCTCAGAGCTCTCTGATTTCTTGTTTAGTATGGAGGAATTCTACCCCTGTATTAATGAAATAATTATTGCTTTTTCCATTAGGCATAAAATTGTTCTTCTGGGCTTAAATGTTCAACAGAAACTCAATACAATGCAAGCCACTGAAAAAAACACAGGAGCCCAACAACACTATTAAATTAGTGCTGCTCAATAGAAAAAAAAATAAGAAGAAAAAAAGATGACAGCAAGAAAAATGAAACTTAAACCTGTTTTTTGTATCTCCTATTTATGTGATGATTGCAACAACTAGTAGTAGATAACTACATCTTGTAGGGGATGTAAGGATGGAACCTGCTGCCTGCTGGGTTTATGAAATTATGGATTTCTTCATCTTCTCACCCTCAACAAAAGGATCCAACTCAGTATCTTGCTTTCCCTCAAAGCAGCCAAGTGTCTCCTGCTGCTGTGGCCCATGGGTGTCAACCACCAGATGGAA